ATCTAGACTTTTTCTTCTCGCGATAAATCTTATTTGATGAGATAAGTCTCAGTTGAAAATCCATTTATTATTTCATTAGATGTAGAAATTCATGTGATAAGCCAAATCGTACAATTTAACAATTCATTATTTTCTCGATACTAAGAAAAATCCTTAGGTATGAATATGCAAAGAGTATAGTATACAATTAAAAATAAATCTTGTTTCGTTTTTTAATTCTATCTTATGATTACGGTAAACATGTTCTAATTATTTATTCATTTAAATATAAACAAAGTAATGTAATTATTGAGTTGACTCAATAAAAATCGATTCAAATTTATTTTATGACTTTTTATATACTTATTCTTAATATTCGATAGTCTGATCGATTAAAAACAAGTAACATATTATAAATATGAGTTTTGCATTGTTAAATCTAAAATATAAAGAACTATACAAGTTTTCTTTAAAAAAATATTTTTTCTTTTTCAATATTGTTTACAATTAAATATAATTTCGAAAGTGAAAACACTTTCTTAAACGCGAATATTTTCTCTTTAAATCTTTGAGTACAAATGTACTTCATAAAGTACATGTTTTTAGAAATGATCTTTTTAAAAAAATTATCGAGCCTACTAGGTGAGAGTGTTTTGTTAGGATCGTAATTTCAAAATGAATCTATACTCTCAAATATCATCTATATCATAAATAAAATCACATCTCAATATCTTCCTGTATTCGTATGCTATTCGAAAATTAAGATGATAAAGAAAGCTTTTTTCAATATACAACCTTAATACTAAAAAAGATAAATGAATAAAACATATCTCTATTTTATTTTTTTTTTTGACAAACAATAGAAAAACAAATGATCATGTTCAAAGTATTTCTTTGTCAACTATTTTCTGAAAAATGTCATTTAATATCTCTTCGATTTGATATTAGCAACGAGCTCACAAATGGTAAGATTCATCGATGTTTAACATCAAATTTTTGTCATTCTTCCAATTTGATTCAATATCAACTTCCATCTTGCTGTTTAACCCTTCGTCGTTTACATATTCGACTTCGATATGCATGTTTTCTTGAAAATCTTGTTGAACATGTACCCAATCTTGAACAAATGTCAGTTCAGTTTTATTCATCATTAATATTTGATTTCTCATGCAGATCGAATGTTGAAAGATTGAACCAATCAAATGAAAATTGGTTTAATAAAGTAAGAAAAAGAACAGAAAAATAATGATTTTTTATTTAATGAATTTCTCATAATAGTTTTGTATTTTTTGAATTAATAAAAACAATTGGATTCTTTTCAGATACCGAAACTACGATATTTTAGTTTAACAACTTGTATTGATGATGATTTGGAATTTGTTTATTTGAAATGGCTTCTTAACAATTTAAATTATATTGAAAAACTTCAAGTTCATCTCAGAAATAATAAATTAATGGAAAGAAAATATCAAAATATCTGGAGATCTGTTATCGATGCAAATTTCATTCGTCAATATTGTTTACCTGATAGAATAATTAATTTAATTTATTTTGATTTTTACGTTTGTTCACAATGTCAATTATCATTGAATGATATAGAACAAATAATAAATTCATTTAAAATTCATTCTTTCTTTATTTCACATCAATGGACAAATGTTAAATGTTTATTTGATCCAATAACATCGTGCCAACATCTTTTATCTTCTTTCTCTTATACACTACAACCCTCTGCTAATCGAATGTAAGATATTTACTTTTATCAAAACTCCGACAACTTCTCAATTCAATTACATTATTTTCTTTTTTTTAGTAATCATTCATATATTTTTAATTAGCCACATATTGACAAATTTCTCTTTCACTTATATCCATCACTTTATTTATTTCTTGAAGAATTCAATGACATATCTCCTAATATTCGTTGTATTAAAGTATACAAAGGTAAATTACTTTGTTATTTCAATGATTTTCTTGATTGTTGAAAGAGTAGACAAGTGATTAAGTTAACATATTCACATAATTTCATAATAATTCAATTATATCTAATTACTGAAAATACAGTGACAGAGAAAAATAGAAATCATCGTTTTTTTTCATTGGAAAGATCAGATGAAAAAGAAGATTCCTTCTGAACATTCGTCTACTCTTGTGTTCAGCTAAACTCAATAGAAAAGACAGTAAAACAACATTTAAGGTAAAGAAAATTTCTCACTTTTATAGATCAAAAGAGAGATTTTGACGATTCTGATCTTCTAATGTCATTAAATAGTTTATCCAAAATGAAGCAAAAGAAGACAATTGATATGCCTTTTCGAAATGTTACAAAAATTCAATTTGGAACATGGTTGGATCGTGACAATTGTTAGTAAGAATTTTTTTCTTTTTTTTTCGAAGATCTCAAACAAACAAATGGAGGTTAGTTTTCATTGAAAGCGTAAAGCAAATATTATCTACAGCTTTTTTTTTTTATAGTTTAAATGTTTCGTAGAACTATTTTCTCTATAATGATTGTCATGAAATGAATTTGATAGTCTTTGTAATATGGTTAAATGTGATAATGCAAAGTTATAATTATCCTTTGAATGTGAATTTTTCAGTCGCTAGCACAGAGGCGAGCATTTGTAATCGTAAATGAAAAACCGTTGATGAAAAAAGCAGTTGAATGATATCGATTTTAGTTACGAATATTAAATCTCTATATTCGAACCCTGCTCGCTGCTAAAATAGATCGTCTGTCTATCAAAGATCATGATGTGTTCGGATACATATCCTTAGAAGATCCATCATTACTGTGCAGGCCACGATTTATATTTTGTTCCGTTCCATTTCTACGTTTTTTTTTCTGTAAAGGCAATTCTGGAACATATTTCTCATTTAAGACCGCATTTGGTCATTAAGTACAAATAAATGAAAAAAACGATTCATATGAAATACTTTGATGAGGAATTTAGTATTGATAGAAGAAAATAATGAAGAATATTGATTCTTCAGATATTAATGATAAAAATTTAAACGAAAAATATAATGAACGATTTGTAATTGAAACGTATTTCTGATTAAGATTAAAAACATCGGATTTCAGAAATTTCATTATTTTGAATTAAATACTAAATAATTATAGAATTTTATATCTTTTCTCGACTGTAAGATAATAAACAAAAATAAGTTATTTGAATATCTCTTTAAATTCAGATTAATTTCAAATGATTGATGAAAAACTGAAAACACGTTGTTTTAGGTTTTTAACCAGTTTGAAATTTATTCATATTAGAATTTATAATCGAACATTAGACTTTCATACAATTGTCAAGTAAATGACAAAATATATATCGTAACATTGAATAAACATAAAAAAGCTCAAGATGTTTGTGCATATCATTTATATGAACATGAATTTTTTTTCTTAGTTACCGACAAACTATTTTACAAAGGATATTTCATTCAAATGTGGAGGTATGTCATGAATTATATATGAGAAACAATAATCTCACGAGGAAACGTTTTCAATTGTCCAATCGCTTTTGAGTTCGGACTCTATGCATATAAGGCAGACCTCAGTAAGGTATGAAAAATTCCAAATGGATAAGTACCCTTAGGTCTTCTGTCCAGAGTTATAGGCATTTTATTGGAGTTTTAGTCTTAGGCATGCTATACCAACTAATCTAATGATAGTATTTCGATCTAAGATTTTGTCCACAAACAGATCTATTGGTGAGTAGAATGATCTGAAAATCTCAGCTCAAAAGAATGTTTCTTTCATGCGATATGGATGATTTTTGGAAACTTTTATATGCATAGAGTCCGAACTCAAAAGCGATTGGGCAATTGAAAACGTTCCTTCGTCAGTTAAAAATGATCGGTAACTTCTCAAATATTTTTTTTCAAATCTGAATAAATACAACGTAATTATCTGTGCAAAAAGTAGTAAAAGTGAAATAAACATTGAACAAATGGGTCACCTCTTTTTAGAGTGATTGAGAAATTTTTGTAAAAAAATTTCAATGATTACACATAGAATAGTTTTCCATATTTTTAATCATTCATAATACACATTAGGCATGTACCAATATCGAAACGAAAAGCTAAAACATTTGAGATTTGAATAGTTTTAGTTTTGGTCTTCTCATGTCCTTCTAAAGCAGTGCTAAATCAGCAATTACTTCGAGCAAAATGATATTTTCTCTTCTCTAGTTATATTGTACGAAGCATGATAAACGAATTGAATTACTCTACGACAATAAGCAGTAGACTAATTCAAGAGCAGGTCCAAAATTCAAAAATTTTGGTATTGGTACATGCCTAATACACATTTAAGTTTATTAACAAGTAAGAATATACTTAAGTCAAATTCAAATATTAACTGTGTGTAAAAACAAAACTGGCTTTTCTCTTTCTAATATTTCTTCCACGACTTGTCGATTAAAAAATTGTTCGTCTATTCATATTTTACTTCCATATGCATGACTTAAAAGATAGATTCTGGAAAAATAGTTTTTAGTTTAAAAAAATATCGATTAGAATAAATCTATTTCGTTGTTTGGTAAATATTCTTATGGAAATTATGTAGAAATTAAATATTTTTTAAAGCTCATCGTGATAATCCAATAAATCGAAATGAAATACGTGAAAAAGTATTGGCCCATCTTATTTCAATGACTGTGCAACTCAAATATCTTCTAGTTGAACAATTCGAATGGCTCTTACATGTTGTTCAATACGTAAGTTTTCTCTTATTTCTGATCTTTTTATATAATTGATTTGAATATATTAAAGTCAAATAATTTGACAGTTAATCTTGTATCATCTAAAAGAAAACTGACATTTTTTAAAGTATCACTTTTGAGAAGCTACACGCTTTAGACTAATTACATAGTAGATTGAAA